ACGCCACCATGCCCAGCTAATTTTTGTATTTTTAGTAGAGACGGGGTTTCACCATGTTGGCCAGGATGGTCTCGATCTCTTGACCTCGTGATCCACCCGCCTTGGCTTCCCAAAGTGCTGGGATTACAGGCGTGAGCCACCGTGCCTGGCCGTAGTATTAGTTCTTCTTAAATGTTGGGTAGAATTCAGCAGTGAAGCCATCTGGTCCTTGGCTTTTCTTTATTGGAAGACTTTTTATCATGGCTTCCATCTTGTTACTTGTTACTGGTCTGTTTAGGTTTTGGATTTCTTCCTGGGTTCAGTCTTGGTAGGTTGCATGTATCTAGAAATTTGTCCATGTCTTCTAGATTTTCCAATTTATTAGCATATAATTGCTCATAGCAGCCATTAATGATCCTTGGATTTTCTGCAGTATCAGTTGTAATGTCTCCTTTTTCATTTCCAATGTTATTTATTTAGATTTTCTCTTTTTTCTTAGCCTGGGTAAAGGTTTGTTGATTTTAACTTTTCAAAAAATCAACTTTTTGTTTCATTGATCTTTTGCATTTTTTCAATTTCATTTATTTCAGCTCTGATCTTTATTATTTCTTTTCATCTACTAATAGTAGGTTTGGTTTGTTCTTGCTTTTTTGGTTCTTTAACATGCATCATTACATTGTTTATTTGAAGTTTTCCCTCTTTTTTGATGTAGGCATTTATAGCTATAAACTTCTCTCTTAATATATCCCATACGTTTTGGTGTATTGTGTTTCCACGATCATTTGTTTCAAGAAATTTTTCTTTATTTTATTCTTAATTTCTTCATTGACCCAGGAGCATATTAATTTTCTTGTATTTTTGTAGTTTTCTAAATTCCTCTTATTATTAGTTTCTAATCATATTGCATTGTGGTCAGAGAAGATGCTTGAAATTATTTCAATTTTTTGAATGTTTTAAGACTTGTTTTGTGAGCTAACATATGGTGTATCCTTGAGAATTATCCATGTGCTGAGGAAACGAATGTGTATTCTGCAGCTCTTGGAATGTTCTGTAAATATCTATTAGATCCATTTGGTCTATAATGCAGATTGAGTTTCATGTTTCTTTGCTGATTTTCTCTCTGGAAGATCTGTCCAATGCTAAAAGTGGGGTGTTAAAGTTTCCAGTTATTAATGTATTGAGGCCTATCCCTCTCTTTAGCTCTAGTAATATTTTCTTTACATACCTGGGTGATCATGTGTTAGATGCATCTATATTTAAAAGTGTTATATCTTCTTGCTGAATTGACCCTATTGTCATTATATAGTGATTTTCCTTGTCTTTTCTTATAGTTTTTGTTTTGAAATCTATTTTGTCTGATACAAGTATAGTAACTTTTGCTCTTTTTTGGTTTCCATTGGCATGGAATATCTTTTTCCATCACTTTATTTTCTGTTTATGTGTGTCTTCATAGGTGAAATGTGTTTCTTGTAGGGAACAGATCAATGGTTCTTGTTTTTTCATTCATTCAGCCAGTCTATATCTTTTGATTAGATAGCTTAGTCCATTTACATTTAATGTTATTATTGATAAGTAAGGATTACTTCTGTCATTTTTATTTTTTGTTTTCTGATTGTTTTGTGGTCTTCTCTTCTTTCTTTCTTTTATTACTGTCTTCCTCTAGTGAAGATGATTTTCTCTGGTGATACGATTTAGTTTTTTGATTTTTATTTTTTGTGTATTCATTTTATGTTTTTTGGTTTGAGGTTACCATGAGGCTTGCAAATACCATCTTATAACTCATTATTTTAACCTGATAATATTATTTGCATAAACAA